TAAATAAATAAATAAATAAATAAATAAATAAATAAATAAATAAATAAATAAATAAATAAATAAATAAATAATGAAGTCTACAGGTATGGATAACCTTGGACAGTCACTCTGCTCAGCCATCTGAAGGAGGAGGCAGAGTCAACCACTTCCCTGCAAGGACTATCCTTGGCAGCCATCAGGGATCAACACCAACTCAAAGGCAGACACACACTCAGAGAGTCCTTTCCCAGCAGCCATAGGGTCCTGCTCTTCCCTTCAGCCCAAAAAGCTAATGCAGCAGGCAAGCAGGGATTCAAAAACAACTTTATTGCTCAGTAGCCCAGGTGAGGCACCCTGAAGGCAGGCAGCTTAGAAGAGGGCAAAGAAGGGTGCCTGGTGGCCTGTCAGCTCATCTGCAGTTTTCACACAGGATGTCAGCCACCTGTTCGAGGAACTTGTCCCAGGCCAGGAAGGTGGAGGCAGTGTACTCGTTGCGCAGGTCAGTGGCCAGAGACACGTGGATGCATTTGGACAGCAACTTCAGGAAGGAGGAGGAGGAAGAGGAAGAGGAAGGCAAGAGTTAGCCGGGCGGGTGGGACGGGCACCGCTCTTCCCACCCTGCAGTCGCTTTACCCAGACTTGCCTCGAAGTTGCCAGGGTCCACGCGGAGGTTGTAGGCATGCAGGTCGCTAAGCTGGGAGAGGGGGCCGCGGATGTCGTCCAGGTTCTTCAGGGCGCTGTCTAGCGCCGTGCCCACTTTCTCTCCCTGGTGGACGATGTCCTTCGAGCCGGGACTCAAGTTAAAGTGGGAGAAGTAGATCTTGGTCTGCGGGTAGGCTAGGAATAACCTGAGACAGAGAAAAGGAAGAGAAGGGGCCCATCAGGGGGCCCTGGTGGCAGGAAAATGGGGGGCAGCGGGCGCCCATTGCAGGAAAGGAAGGCTGCGCCCGCCCACCTGCCTACCTGTTCAGCGCATCGGCGCCAATGTCCTCGAGGCGACAGCCCAGTTTGGCAACGGAGGCTTGAAGCAGCCTGCGGTCCTCGGCGGTCAGCACCATGGTTGCGGCAGAGCAGGAGGAGATCGAGGGAAGGCCGGTGGTTCGTTAGGCAGAAGCAGACTGGGAGCCGGGACGCCACCGTCGCTTATGTAGCTGCCCTCTCCTCGGTCCGCCCCTCTTATCTTATCGCCGTCGCGGTGGCGGTCAGGAGCGCTGCTGCGGGGCGGGACTCGCTTCGCTGCGGCTTCCCAGTCCAGCCCTGAGCTGCGCTCGAGGGAATTGGTGGAAGGCAGAAGGGGGTCTCCCCTGGAGGATTCCCGCGCTCAGAGGGTCTCCTCGACCTTTCCGCTGAGCGTCTCGGCCAATTCATAGGAAAAATGCCCGAGCCGCGGAGAGCGCCCGATCCTGGAATTCCGAGGCGGGTTTGTGGGACGACTAAAGGTGGCCCTGTGTGTGTGTGTCGCTGGAGCCTGAAGACACGAGGGCGGTTAGGATGGGAAGGAAAAGCGCTCCTGACCGGGAGGGAAGCCCAGGAGTTGAATCTCTATCCTGACACAGCTGTGCTTGGAAGAAAAGGCCCTGCCCGTCACCCTGGGCTCCCCTCAGAGGCCCTAAAGGCCTTTAAAGAATCGGTGACTCCACCTGACTGGGGACTTCAGAAATTAGAAAAGATCGGTGAAACAAGATAAACAGAATATATGCCTGCAGAATATTGTTTTCCTTCACCAACCAATATTATGATTGCCCAAAGT